CTCATAAATGCGCAAAATGGCTGTCTTCACTTTGTCATAGTTCACGCTGTCCTCCAGAGGTAATGCAGCGATGGCTTCCTGAGCTTTACCTTGGAGCTTGCACTGGAGCAGGAGAGCCCAGACTCCAGGCGGCCACTGTAATGCGGCAGCAATGCGCTCAAAAACGCAGAAATAGGAATCCACTTCAGTCTCACGGAAGGTCGGTACCAAAGCTATATGCTTACCCACATCAAAGTTAATTTTAGTTGAATCGATAGCTGTATCAGAGGAGGGAGAGGGTTGTGGCCTACCTGAGGCAGACAGTGGAACCTGCTCCACCTTGGAGTTTGAGCTCAAGCTTCCGCAGTCTCACAGCCTTATCAACCTCCATTTCTAGCTCCAGCCTCCTAACATCCAGCTTAAGCTGCAAGTGCTGTTGCCGTTCCCTCTCCTGTGCGTCAAGTTGGAGACGGGCGAGTCGGACTTTCATCCGGGCCTCATCCCTGGAACGAGCACTGCTGCTGGGTGGAGAGGGATCGTAGCGTGGTAGTGTGAACGGCATCTTCATCCGCTCACCTGCCTCGCCGTCCTTCCCCAAATCAGGCTGGGCTTGGCGGCCAGGCACATCCTCTACCTCTGTAGGGATGTCTGCGGGAAGTGTCACTCCCACAGGTTGCTGAGCCTGCTCAGGTAACACAATCTCCCCCTGATCTATCAAGCCATCAATAACCCGGATCCGGAGATCCTTTTTCAATAAAGATTTGGCAACCGTGATTCCAAAATGGGTGGCTATACGAATTAAGTCATCTTTACGACAACTGCTAATTTTCTCAAGGGTCGGGTTGACTATAAACGAGTCCAAATCAAAGCGCTCCGCCATAGCTCAGTCAGCCAACTGTACTCTCCAAAACTGAGTAACAAATAATTTTTCCACCAGATTCAGTTGCGTGAATCCCGGACGAGCCCCCAATTATGTTACGTCCCCGCTGTCTAGGGGTAGGAGGGACATAAAACATAAACCAGATGGATTTGGTATGGGTGGAAAGATTATTTATTAAGCAGTCTGGTACACACAAAATAGTCAAACAGAAAATGGGCAAGTGGGTGCTGCGTAAAACAAAGAACCAAATATAACAAAAAGAGATCCCTCCTACGTGGGGGATTACTAAACTACTTGAAAAAAGATAAACAAAAACCTGTCTAGCCGTTGTTCAGAAGTGGAAAAAAACATAGGGAGCGCAGCACCCCTAAACCTAGTGTCACTAAACAAATATTTAACTACCAGGTGTGGGTAATCAGTGAACAAGCTTCCCCTAGCCCAAGTCTGTAGACCACCTACTGGGATCAGCCCAGGTGAGTTACCAACTCTCAGTAACACACAGATCTCACAAACACAGAAGCTGTTTCCACTGAGGATACACGCACACACAGAGTTCAAGGTTAGGACCAGCGTCAGGGCAAACCACATGGCAAAAGGTAGCTGCCTCGAACCAGCAGCAGACCAGCCTATTTGAGGGGGAAAGCACGAAGGCGGTCCTGCAGGCAGCTTGGCGATTGGAGAAGGGGTGGTGTGCCGCTCCAATCAGAATCGTCGGAGATGGGAGGCGGGATCAGCCAGGCTTGCCGAAGTCCAGCCAATCCCCCGCCTCACAGTGTAACACATGCAGGGAGAAACACAGGCAGCAGTGACACACAGACGGCTGCCCTCAGCAGCCGTAACAGCCCTTACTATCCACCCTGAGTGAATTAGGAACACTTTCTCTTAGGTGTGCGAGGCTGCCCCGCACGCAAAGAAACACTTGGGGACAGGATTAGTAGGTTTACAGCAGAAACAACATACAGAGACACAAGGAATATTTTGATGAAAAAATTTGAACAATTTCAAACTGTTTGCAAAAGTGTCAGTCGAAGTCAAGTGTGACTATTTTTTGGAAATCCAAAATTAACTCAGGCTCTGTGGTTTTCAGATCTGAAGAGAAGCTTCACCTTTTACTTCAAAGTGTTACATTTCTACAGAAAAGAGTGTGAGGAATGTGGGGGTGACATGCAACAAAAGGTCTTGATGAGTTTTTACCACAGGATATTCACCTATACATCTACTGACTCACCAGGAGGCTGGACAGAGAATTTCATGTATTATATAGACTTTTTATAATGATGGTCATGGTATATTATGTACATAAGTACTCCTGGTTGGTGTTTGACAATGAATGTTCATAGGTCATTTCAGGTGTGAAAAGGGTCCATGAGATTGGAAGAGAGCAGTTGGGATTTGTGTGTGAAGCTGTCCCATTTCTTCAGTTTCATCATGCTTACAGTACCTTACTCGTCTCCTCTTCAAGCTTTGGAGATCTGTCTCTTCTCTCTTTTCCCAGGAAGTACAGTACACCTTCATAATACTGCCCTATTCGCTACATGTAGCTAAAAAGGAGAGACGGAGATACATGATTTTAGTAATATAAACCAAAATAATGTTTTTGATTGGGAGCTTTTGTCATTGTGCCTTTATGTGCCTCATACAAAGAACACCAGGGTTAATTGTATTGTTGTTTTTTTCTGTGAACGTCCTTGACAACTTGTCTTGATTAGAACAAGAGATTACAAATGTTCTGTAGTGTCCTCTTTGCTTGCATCTTTGTTTTCTCAGTGATATTAACATTCCATACCTCGAGCCCCTTTTCAATCACCACCACAGAGAGATGACTCTTATGTTGACAGTTAATGAAACTCACTGACCCACGATTCATCAATAAACCCATGAGCACCAGCCCCATTAATGTTTATTCATAGCATTGGCAAGACAAAAGCATGATTCAAGGCAGAAAGACCAACAGTATGGCCAGTGTCTCTTCTGATAAATGTCACGGTCACAGAGAGCATCCCTGTGATTTGAGTTTATAGGAATGAGATCATCATCAGAAGGTGACTTTTAATAGTATGGGGGGAAAAAAACTGGTTGATTAAATTGAGGCAGCTAGTTCTTCTTTCCATTAGGAGGAGTACTGAACACATAAGATAGCTTATGAATAATTCTGTCAGCTTGTTTTTCTGCTCCAATTGCGAATATGATGTATAGCCAATCAATGACATTTGACATTTTCTTTTTGTGCTAACTCTTATGAGGCATTCGCCTATTTTTATAATCACTTTTGTTTGTTTCTGACCAATAATTCCCAGCTGTAGCCATTTGTTTTCTTTCTCATCCTGTATTCAATGCTAGCGTAACCCCTGAAAGCAGTACAGCGCGCCTCCCAATGTCATTCAGCTTGAATGTGTTTATGATACCCTCTAGAGGAACATTAACAACATCACAAGAATAAAATGTTGAAAATAATGTTGTTATTGTTTGTACATCATCCCTGTGTATTGCGTAATGAATTGGAGAGGTGTTGATTTTATCTCCAGGTTTTGAAGCCACGTCATCCCAAAACAACATCACCACAAGCTGTATCTTTCAGAATCACCATTGAGATGAATCAAGGGGTCTGATGCAAACAAAACAGAAAGGAAACAGCACCACCTGCAAGTTGCTTCATACAGGTGAGGAAGGACCATCAAAACAATCTGAAAGTACCTTATGTGTAAAAAGTGTTTTTTTATACTGTGTAGTACACTGTATTAAATAATGTGAAGGAAATCAAGAAGAATATATCTAAAAAGGTATTGATTCAGTCACAATCTTCCAAAATAACTGCACCCTTTCATTCTGTCACATAGCAGTGTTTCATCGCTGCCAGTCATTTCAAACAGCTGGTTCACCATGTTGATGAGAGCTGACACCTTAGATATGACGACTTCCTTTCATGTCAGGAAATGACTGAAACTGAGTGAATTCAGCTGCAACTCAAGTTTAGTCCAGCATGTCTGCAATTCAAAAAGAATCTCCATCATTATGATTAATAAATAGATACTGTATTATGTAGTATGTGTGTTCTTATTCTTGTGCTTCCATTGCAGCACGGCCTGGTGCTCTCCATCTTTTTACATACATATTGTGTAATAAAGTTTAACAAATGAATAAGACTTGTTTTTCCTCTGTGGTTATTCAACCTGCCAACTTCACACATATTAGTCACAGTGAGCAATTAGGAAAAGAGGAAGCTTTGTTTTACCAGAACTATGTGAACTGAAGTCTGACTCACGTCAACTGTAGCTAAATCATGTACTTGTAGTTATTCATATTCTTGCTAAATATAGAGTTAGGATGTGCAGTATACATGGGGTCAATGGGTTTTTGTGATTGCAAACGGCAATACCAATGATGACAGCAGTAAAGTTTATTTCTCATGCCTTGCAAAAAGCTTAATTTTGCCATCTTACATAACAGTGAAAAGTGGAAAAACAACTATTTTGACAGCAGTACCACCAGCACTACCACAGGAAATAAAGTTCCACATAAACACACAATAGCACAACACAGAGAAAACACACATACACTAACAGATCATATGGGCTTTAGAGTTTAGGCAAGGATCCAGCAGCTTTTAAGACCTTTCTTAAGGCATAAAATGCATCAAAGTAACATATGAAAGAAAGTTAAAGTATAATAATATTAAATAACAAGACAATACCTAAGTGTAAAGTGTAATAGAGGAAATAAAAGTCCAGTAAAGAAAATTACTTAATCCTATGTGAGTGTGGTCAAAGTTGGGGCACATTTACTGTAAAATCATCAGGCATGGTTGGTTTCATCTGTGCTTCACTGTCTTTCTTTATCCACCTCAACCTCCTCTGTTTAAATGGCTAGACACATTTAAAAAGCTGAGATATTTTACTGTAACTGCAATGAAATGTTGAAGTTCACATTTTTACCAGAACTGTCAGACATCAGCCGAGCAGTAGCTGTAACTAATAATATCACATAGAAGAGGAAGCTGGTTGACCACTCATCTTTGTAACACGCCCAGCTCAACTTCCTGCATGTATCTGTGTGTGTGTGTGTGTGTGTGTTTGTGGTTTCGACAGGCTGAGAGAGAGAGAGAGAGAGAGAGAGAGAGAGAGAGAGAGAGAGAGAGAGAGAGAGAGAGCGTGTGAGAGTGTGTAGGTGGATTGGGTAAGAAATGCTTTTGACATTCACTAAAAAAGCGACAAAGGTCTGACATCAGCAGAGAGCAGGGTAATGGAGCCACAACAGATCAGAGAGGGATACTTGGTGAAAAAGGTAAGAATAACTACAAGAAAACACTGTCCGCTTCGTGCTGCATTTGTAGAGCTTGAATGTGTTTTTTAAAGTCTAACACTGACAAAATTATAACAGAAATGACAACTTTATGATTGGTTCTGCAACAAAAAGTAGATACATTCTGAATTACACCAGATACTGAGAGGTTTGGCTTTCTAGCAACACATTCACACTATACCTATTGGTGGTAAATATTACAGTAAAACAAATGCAATTTGAAATCTACACGATAAAAGACAAACTTAATCAAAGTGTGAATCAAAGAAATGTCGAATGTAGAGGTCTGACAAGTAACACGTTTGAGTTTTTGAACTCAGTCACCTAAACTGTGACAAAAATAAATAAACATCTAGATAAATTCTGGCCTGGACAAACAACACTGGTAAAAAGAAATATTGTTCTAAGTCAAACAGCACCTAGAGGAACAGACAACAACAAAAAGTTGCTGAACACTACACACAGCTGCAAAAAAAACTCAAGTTCCTGCTTCTGTCCACGAGTAAAACATGAGTTTAGTAAGTGTTTAGTAGGTTGTTTCACCATTTATTCTACATAAAACCGATTTACCTAAGAACGCTTTGCCCTGAAACAAATGCTGTCCAATTGCAATATGACATTATTATACTATGAAATCCCCAAACACAAACAAATTCGCTTTCGTGAACAACAGAGGGCAGACATATAAACAATGTGTATGTTCAAAATTGACACATAAGCCACTTCCTACACATAAACTGGAAATTTATTTTACAAAGAACGAGCAGTGAGTAAGTGTCCGTTTCACACCCTAAATCTAGATCGAGCCAAGAGTGAGATTTTGCTTTCTGCAGACCTAACATGCCAATCAAAGTCACATTTATTCACTGTATTTTAGACTTTAAACTTTAATTGACTTTGACAAAATGAAAATAACATATAAGTTATACCTTCTAATATCTTCAAATAAGTCCAGATGCTCTTGATTTAACCTTCCTTGGATATACCTTATATATCTATAGCTATGTACATTCAATGGCCTCTTTATTAGGCACACCTTGCTTGTGCTGGGTTGGACGTCTTTTGCCTTCAGAACAGCCTTAATTCTTTGTCGCATACTTTCAATAATGTGTAGAACACATTCCTCAGAGACTTCATATTGACATATTGACATGATAGCATCATGCAGTTGTTGCAGATTTGTCGACTGCACATCCATGTTGCTCTATTGTCTTGAGATCTGGTGACTGTGGAGGCCAATGGAGCACAGTGAACTCATTGTCATGTTCAAGAAACCAGTTTGAGATGATTTGAGCTTTGTGACATGGTGCATTATCCTGCTGGAAGTAGCCATCAGAAGATGGGTACACTGTGGTCATAAAGGCATGGACATGGTCAGCAACAAGACTCAGGTAGGCTGTCGTATTTAAATGATGCTCAATTGGTACTAAGGGGCCCAAAGTGTGTTAAGAAAATATCCCCCACATCATTACACCACCAGCAGCAGCCTGAACTGTTGATACAAGGCAGGATGGATCCATGCTTTTATCATTGTTTACACCAAATTTGACCCTGATATCTGAATGTTGAGGCTGAAATCAAGACTCATCAGACCAGGCAAAATTTCCAATCTTCTATTGCCCAATATTGGTGAGCCTAGCCTCAGTTTCTTGTTCGTAACTGACAGGAGTGGAGGAAATTGCAAGAAATGTAGTGGTAAAACTACACATTTGCCTCTGAGTTGCAGCGGACTAGAAGCATAAAGTACCATGAAATGGAAAGCACTTCAATATACAGTAATAAATATACAGTTAATCCTGCAATAAATGGCCTTACTTGGGGACAGTGAAAACGAGCAGTAAATACAATTCTGATATATAATCACCCTTCACTGGTAAACGTGTTACAAATCTGTGTTGCATATAAACAGTATTATTGAAACTCTACACAACATATGAAGTACGAACGTTACGGTGTCCTGCTACACACAGTGCAGGACATGACAATACTAAGGATTAAAGCTGTTCAGAAGGCAAAGGCTGATATTCCAACACTATATACTTCTGTTATGTTATTTATCCACTGCATGGTTGAATTTGTTGACCACAGCCACAATTTTACACACAGCTTTCTTGTGATGCTTGAAGGCATGTGTTTGACAACAGATATAGTTGGGGAAGACTTCTAACACAAGTTATGTAACATTAAACTTTATATACATTCTCAAAAGCAAGCCTTGCTGAAGGAAAAAATGTCACTGGATAAATAAGTTTCCACTGTTCCCTGAGAGAGTGAAGGGTACTGTTAGGGTTTGTCGTGTGTGAAATGACCCAAAACCCAGGACAGTGGAGCTAGGCAGGTTCGGTTCTTCAGGATTTGTTTTACTTAACAGAAAACATAAGACAGAAATAATACAATGAATAGTCCAAATTCAAGCAGTGAATCAAAATGGGAAAGTAAATCCAAAAGATCCTTGATAAACTGAGCATGAATGAATGAATGAAGCTTTATTATTGTGTCATGCGTAGGATTATACCCAGCCTGCATGGGCTTACAAGACACCAACATTAATATACAGAAAAAATAAAATAAAAGTAAAATAATATACAAGATAACCAGGTACAGAGTACATCATATACAGAGCTAACCAAATATAAACAAGGATTAGAAGCGGAATAATAATAAATGGTACATGTGTATTCAGATACATGCATGTATCATACACAGATGCATTCACATTTACTCAGATAACCACCCACATAAACCCATAACCCTACACAGAACAAAATTAAATCTAGTTAAAAAAACTAGTTTGCCTTCTTTTCCAAGCCTTTGAGACAAAGTTTGCAAACTTAGATATATCATAGTTAAACAAACATACTAATTTTAGATCGTCAGCATACCAAACTATTTCAGAGATTTGCCGTGTAACATCCAGAAACAAAGATTCTCTTAGATCATCATAATGTGTACAGTACAAGAGGAAATGAGATTCACTTTCCACTTCACCAAGGTCACATAGCTCACACAATTCCTTTTTCCTCTGGGATATTTTTGAATCGATCAACCTCAATGGCCAGAGGCAAAATCCCAGATCTCAGCTGTGCAACCGAGGATCTCTGGCTTCTAGATAAACGAGATGTAACATACAATTCTGTTTGATATGCATACATGTCCTTAATTTTGGCTTTAATAAAACATTTTCAAACCATTTTTCTTCAAATTTCAATAACAACTTGTGTTTAAGCGAGTTAACATTACAACTTAAATTGTTCCTGTAGATATACAACATATCTACCTCCTCAAAAATAGAATAAATCTCCTTTACCCATGGAGACCTGTGAGCTTTACTCCACCTAAATACTCTCTTATTTACTCTATTCTCTGCCATTCTGATTAGACGGTTCAACAGTCGTATCATTTCACATTTTCTCTGTACAGCTCCTGGTACACAGTCCATATCTCCCTGAATTGCTAGGATCGGAGCAAATTTATGAACCCCCAGAAAACATGGTATGGCTCTATTATGTATGGTATCTACCGTTTTGGATTCTTTCAAGCCCCACACCCCTGCAGCATAGTTCAGTATTTGAGAAACACATGCACCATAAAGTCTAGTATATGTAGAATATCCAAGATCCTTACATATTTTCAGTTTATTAATAACTGATCCTAGAGCTCTCCCGCTAGAATCAACGCGAGATTTAATACCAGCCTCGTCGGTCAGGAATTCATCAAGAAAACCCCCAGATGTTTATATGCACTAACATAATCTAGAGTGACTGAGCCAAAGCTAAATATATTTGTACTTCTTTCTGTGCCTTTCTTTCTAAAACGCATTATATGTGTTTTGCTTTGATTTATAGTGAATCGCCACTTGAAACACCACAAATTAACCACATTTAACATTTTCTGTAAATCAGACTCAGACTCAACTAGTAAGATTATATCATCCGCATATAATAGAATTTCCAATTTAGTACCATGAAGTAATACTCCTAAATTAGCATCCTTAATTTGTAGAGCTAAGTCATTCATACGTGACATTCCGTGTCACCATTCTCTAATATAATTTCCATTGAAATTTTTTTCAATTTCTTAGGACCCAATTTGTTTATTTCTTTCCAAAATTGTTGTGGGTTGTTACTTTTTAATCGATCCAACTGTAATGCTTGTCCTCTTCTAAATTGCCTTTTATGGAACCGTATCCTCTTATCAAAAATAATCGAGTTTGTGTACATTTATCTTTAAATTGCCTTCTGATCAATGGATTTTTACATTTTAAAAATTCCCTTTCTGCATGTTCTTTATCCTTCCATAGTTTTTTAAGTTCTGCATTCCAGTATGGCTTGTTCTTACCCACTTTCTGACATGTCTCCTTCTGACTTGGAAAATTATATTTTGTTGGTAGATGTGTATTAATTTCTCTGTATATCACAATAAATAATAATCATCCCTGGAGGCAGGCAGAAGGGAACAAAGAAGTCTAAGAATACTGTGAACGCAAAAACCAAACAGGCAGAGCTTCAGGGAAGTCTGAAAACTCAGCAACTGCAAAAATAGGAAGGCAGGGTTTCAAGTGGAGACCACAGACACCGTGGTAAGCAGACACACAGCAAGTACAAGACATGATAATACAACAATCCAGCAAAGACTCAACTGAACAGCAGACAATAAATACAGGGTTAACGAGAAGGCAGGGAACAAACAGGTGAGACACACGGGTAATCAAGCTAACATACACACACACACACACATGCATGCACATGCACACAGGCAGGGAGATCAACAGGTGGTACAAATCAAGGGAAATCAGGAAGATAGAAACAGGAACAGACAAGACTCAGGACACTAAACATCATGCACAGACTACTGAACATCCTGCAGCTGCAGAGAAAAAGCATATAATCTGTGCAGAGCAGAGCTCGGCCAATACCCTCTTGCTAAAAATACAGAAAAGATCAATTAAATTTTACAGTCACTTAAAATCAGCTAACCCCCAGACATACCATCACAAAGCCCTAACATACCAGGAGCTGAAACCAGAGAAGAGTCCCCTCAGCCAGCTGGTCCTGAGGCTCTCTGCAGTAACAAGTCCCCAACAACCTCAGGACAGCAACACCAGCTCAAGCAGACCAAACCAAATTATCAACAAGCAAAAAGACAAATATAATGAATACTGGAAAGAAATCACCAAAACACAAAGTAAATCACAAAGTTATCTGACCCTAAAAAGAGAATTCACACTGGCAAATTACCTGAGCACAATAAAACGTCCTAAACTAAGAAAAATGTTGGCAACATTCAGAATGAGTGAACACAGCCTGGCCAAGGTCTCCACAGACAGAGCTGGCTACCAGAAGAGGAGAGACTCTGCTCCCAGTGTGACAGAGGACAGGTGGAGACAGAGCTGCACTTTGTAACCTCATGCCCTAAATATAAAACATTAAGAGAAAAACACTTCTTCAACACAAACATTTCACAAATATACTCCAAATTCGCATTTATGTCAGACACACAGAAACTCCCCTATTTACCGGGAGAAATGCCAGAATGCCAAATCATTGCTGCAAAATTTATCTCCTCATGCTACAAACTCAGGACTACCAGTGGAAACTCAGATTAGATAATATATTAAATATATTAAATAACTGTTCTGAAATTTTTTCAAATTATTATTATTTTCATTGTTCCTTTGCTTGTTTTATTTTTTATTTCAAATTTAATACTGATTTTTTTTGTCTGTTAATACACACACACACACTCACACACACGTCTACTGTTTTATTTATTTTTATATTTTATTTTATTTTATTTTACACACACAAACACACACTTTTACTTTTTTATTTGCTTTATTTAATGAACTGTATAATCATGCCAATACAGCTACATTGAATTGAATTGACTACTGCAGAATCAGACAGGAGACAGACAGAACTAGAACAACCCACAGAACACAGACCCAAAATCAAACAAACAACAAAACAAGCACAGAAATATTTCCAACACACCAAACAAGAAACACAACAGACCAGACAGACAACAGACCAAAGATCGTGAAAGGTACTGAAGTCACTGCAAGCTCAACAGAGCATGATAGTTTGTTCAATAACAAACCAAGTGAAAAGGAACACATACAGCATGAACACAAACTCAAACTGTTCCAGAAAAGGGTTGCCAAAGCTAGTGATTCTTCCCCATATGTATTAAAAGAATGACTAACTATAGATTAATTTCTGCATTCTAATTTATGGTAAATGGTGCCTGATCCAATAAGAGCTGTCGGCTTTCGTTTTGTTATTCTTTCACTTCACAAACTCAGCGTGTGAAATGAAACACAAAGCAAATGGATTGAGGGGAAATCTGTGTCATAACAAAAACTTAATTTGCCCTTTTTCATGTTACGTCATCTGAACAAAAAGTTAACAATTTTGTTTTATGTGAAACTTTCTTACTTTTGAGTGACTAGTGACCTTCAAAGCCATGAACTCCGCCTCGGATTTAAAGGCCACCGCTTAAAGTAAGAAGCGTGATGTATAGTGCTATTCCTGGTGTATCTTTGGACAGTGGGATTTTTATAGAAGATGAGGAGGTTATCAAACTTAACAGAAACAAGTATCTTTAATGATGACAAAGAAATGTTAAAATAGGTGTAAATCAAAATATTCAGTTCATGTACAACATGCTCTCTGTAATAACTACATCGTCGACCTATACTTTCGCACTTTTGCTCAAGGCTGCCTGTTGTCACTTGTCTTATTGATCCTCAGGGTACAGTGCTAAACTCCTGGAAGGTGGTGTGGGTGGTGCTGTCAGATGATGGGGTGGAATTCTATAAAAAGAAAACAGACAGTTCTCCAAAAGGAATGATCCCACTAAAGGGAGCCACGCTCATCAATCCTTGCCAGGATTTTGGCAAGAGGACAGTAAGAAAATGTCAAGTATACCTGCTGTAAAATCTGAACTAGCACTTTTTTTATTTGCTTTTTTTAATGAACTGTATGATATGAATTGTTCTTTTGTAATTTATTTGTAGCTTTGGCAATATTGTTGTTTTACATTCATGCCAATAAAGCTAGATTGAATTGAATTGACTACTGCAGAATCAGACAGGAGACAGACAGAGAACAACCTAGAGAACACAGACCCAGAATCAAAGAAACAACAAAAGTTTTAGATACTTGGAAATTATAGTAATGGGAAAGTATATTGGTTTAGGCACAGAGTTCAAAACTACTATTAACGTTTAAATGTTAAAACACTCAATTTAATGTCATTAGCTTGAGACAAATGGTGACAAATTTTCCCAATAGCAGCTGTGGTTTCTGGGTAAATCTCAAAAATAAACAGAACATATAACAGTGTGACTGACTAATAATGCTCCATTTAGCTGGTTTTCAAGATCACCACAGAGAAGAAGCAGGACCACTTCTTCCAAGCCTCACATGTGGAGGAGAGAGAGTTTTGGGTGAAGGACATGAAGAGAGCCATTACCTGCCTACAGGGGGGAAAAAAGTTTGCCAGGAAGTCCACAAGACGCTCCATTCGCCTGCCTGAAACGATCAACCTAGCGTATGTTCTGTAAAATCTTCTTAATGGTGGAAACAATAATTTGAAAGGACCAGGATTAATTTCATTCTAACAACTGACACTTAGCTAAGTCTCAGTCCCAATAGTTACACCTCACACAATGAGTTACAGCTTTTTGTAATTTTTTCTACAATAATGGGTCATTCATTTCAGCAGGGGACTTCCAATATGCAGGCTGAAATTATTACTGTCACAGGAAGATTTTGCTAGCTAATTAAGCTAATACTAACTCTGTTAGTTAAATGAAAACCCTCTTTGGCAGCACCTTGACCATTATAAGTGTCATTTCAAGTGTCATTTCATTCCAACACAACCCGGTTTGGATTAGTTTATTATAGGAAATCATACATACAAGAAACACAGAGGTTAGATTTATGCTTTATTGTTACTGTTGTTCAAACTTTATATTTTGCTTTTTAGTTGCAAGAGTAAAGGCTTTGAGGACGAGGACTCACTGATGTGACTGGCAAGTCATGAGTTTGGTTGGGGTTGCTGGAGTGTAAACTTCCCCAAATGCAATGACAGCGAGACAGAGCCACTTACGATAGCCTAAACTCTGATTAGGTAGCATCCAAGACCAGTGCACACTGTGGATGTATGTATCCTGAACCATATTGTAACCAAACCTGTGACTTCACAAAATAACGTAAAGCTAAATATAAGCTTATTGGCCATGAACTAACACTTTGATAGCCTTACTACTACATACATAAATACTGTACATTCCTTACAAGTGTGCTCTTGTGCTTTTGGTTTTGGAAACACTTAAAAAACACACAAAAGTTTTACCACTGTTCACTCTTAAAAGTAGAGCAACAGGCACACCATTTCAGCATGTAGAGAAAATGCGAGCTTGACAGGACTGCCTTAGTGTCTTAGTGAATAGAGAATAATAGATGGCATGACATGTTGACAGTGTCCACATTGCGTTTTCTCAGTGAGCTGTACACCCTGATGAAAGACCAGGATGATGGAGTGAAAGAGTTAAAAATGGAGCAGGAGAATCGAGTCTTCAACCACTGCTTCACTGGTACTGTTGACTTGGTTTGATTGATGTTACAGGTGTGAAAGAACTTGTTTTCTTTTTAAATCTTCTAACACTCTCATCATTTTTTGCTCTTTCCCTATTTTTGCACAGGTGCGACAGTGGTAGAGTGGCTGATTTCAAAGGAGAAAGTAAGAAATAGGCCCGAGGCCCTCATGTTAGCAACAGGGCTCCTGAATGAGGGTTTTCTCCAGCCTGCGGGTGACCTGTCAAAAGCAGGAGCAGAAAGTGGAGAGCAAACGGCCTTCTTAGATGAGTCAAATGCTCTTTATTACTTTGTAAGTTCAACTGAGTGTCAAAAAGTTACTACCGTATTTAACAAAGAATGGTATCTTTATGTTAAACGGAATTTAGGTCTTTTTCCAGCAAGACAATTGTTGGCACAGTAATGTTTCAATATGATTTCCTAAGATTATTAATATGTATTTATGTATGATGTGTGTGTGCGTTGCTGTGGCAGGCAGACAGTGGGTTCTTCTGTGAAGGCTACTCCAGCGATGAAGATGTGCTTATGAAGGAAGAATTCAGAGGAAACATCATAAAACAGGGCTGTTTACTTAAACAGGTGAATCAGAATGCAAGCAAAAGTGTCACCATGTTTTTGTTCCACTTCCTATCTTTACAACAATAATTTAAAAGATGTATACACTGTTCCCATAACAATAATAATATCTTGACAAGAAGCCAGGTTCTATATTGTCCAGCTGCAGAACATCATACTTTTCAACGTACCTCCCACATTCACAAACATGCAGATGAAAGTACACACACACACTCTGTGGTGGAAAGAAACTTTTCTGTTATTATAATTTTGCAAGTACTTTGTTACATGCACTGAAAGAGGAAGTCTAAATAACATCTGCTTGACAATTTTAGTGATTTTCAGCAAATAAGATAAAGCCCCGTGTGTTATTTTATCACAGGGACATAGAAGAAAAAACTGGAAGGTGCGAAAGTTCATACTGCGGGATGACCCTGCTTATATGCATTATTATGATCCTGCAAAGGTAAATATACTGACTTTTACAAGCTGAAAGAAGTTGAGAACTTGTACTCACAAAATCTTCCATGCTCCAAATTTCTGCCTTCTTTTGTCTCCTTTCTTTCTTTGTGACAGGGTGATGAGCCTCTGGGCTCCATCCATCTCCGTGGGTCTGTGGTGACAGCTGTGGAGCATGTGCCTGATGGTGAGTGAGACCGTTGTCACAGGATACACACACCCTGTTGCTTTGCAACTGTGACAGACTGTGACTGTGCTGTTTACTGTCAGTCGTTTCTCTTCAGCTCATCCCTTTTAATTCCTTTCCCTCCTTTTCAGCCAAAAAATATGACGTTGATGGCAACCTCTTTGAGATCATCACCTCAGATGAAACTCACTACTTCCTCCAAGCTGCTACGGGCGAAGAAAGAAAGGAGTGGATCAAAGCGGTGCAGGCAGTGTCAAAAAGTGGAAAATAAAAGGAGCAGTGCAGCTGTGGAATATGTGCCAGTCATAGTGGAAACTCTTGATTGTAGAAAAGCACATTTGAAACATCTATAATTACATTTAACAGTGTGCAGGCTAAGTACAATTGAATTATTATCATAATGTAGTGCTAAATCATTAGCTAGCTAGTTTTACTCCTCTATACACTATCAAACTAATGTTATGATGTTTTGTGTAGTAACTAATTAAAGAGAAATAAAGTTAAAGTCTAAAGTTTAAATTTATAAAGTTTTATCACCAATGTCTAATTTTATTTTAGTATACAAATGATATCACAATACCATGATGTGTGGCAATATATTCTTAAATCAGTAGCACTTTACATTCCAGCTCAGTCATTACAAGGTAATAAGCTATATCTTGGAACAACAGGTGATAACAGGGTGGCAACAGGGTGGAGTATTAGTACTAGGGCTTATTTTGCATAATAAGTCAATATTATAGCATAAACATTAGAGTAACGCTGGAAATCTTGATGAAAATAGAACAAACTATCAGTAGTTACATGGTAATAACAAGTTAGCAGTAGGTCTCTGCTCACAATAATCTGGTTATTTCAGGCTTAAAGTCTATCAATAAAAATGTGGTAACATCACTGTGTAAAATCATTTTAGAGACAGTGGTAATTTGGTTAATGATAATACTACTAATAATACCCACACAATAATAGTAATAATGGTGTAAAGATATTTTGGTCCTTATTACCTTGAAATATTATTAAACTACTTCAGAAATTAAACCTCATTATCATTGCCATAAACTATTAGTTACTGTATAATTACAATGTTATTACCCAACTGCCCTGTTTTACTCAAGACCCTTTATTACCTTGGGGTGCTACTGTTATATATTTTCATGGTCCTATCTTTTCTCTCATCCTGGTATCATAAAACATATTGCATTGTGTAAAAAGGCATATTATTCTGCCAAATGTGTTTTTTCTGATTTCCTCCCTGTTCACTTGTCTTTCTAAAGTCTGCGATACTTTGAGCTATCATACAAGCACACTCAGTTCCTGAGTGTGAACTAAGTCTGAATCATATCTCGCCTTCACAATTCAGTGTCACTTTGTGGCTTACAGGCCTGCTGCATCTGTGAGAGAATTTATCAGTGACAGAAGTGGCTGCCTTGAGCTAGAGTGTGATTGCATTAAAATACTTCTGTTAAAGCTGGGGTTTGAAATTTATTTCAGAAACCTTTTCTGTTATATTTGTTGAAATTCTCTAAAAGATCTGATATCTGTTGCTGTCACAGGACTCTTGAAATGATTGTTTTATGTCCCAGTCAGCATTAGACAGACTGAACTGAAGAGCAGCCCCTGATTGGTCAGTCCAGCATGTGACCTCCTGCTAAAACATAATTTCCTGATTCAGCTGTTGTTTTTACTTTTAAAGTGGCATGGTTTGATTTGCTCAGGAGAGACTGCAGGTTGCACACCCATCGGAGGTTACTGCCATGATGAGGGCTAACAAGCCTAAAGGCTAACAAGGGCATCATGCAGGCAGCTCAGTGTCCTTCTGTTGTGAATTGTAGAACATACTAAAGATGACTGAGGTAAACTCCCGGGGAAGATACAATGGGCGACATTTGGTGGTCAGCTTCTACAGGTTGGGTGAACAGCTTGTGAGAGAGTCTGCTGCACTGTCCATGCGATGAACCTGTAAGGCAGGGTGTTACAGCCCTGTATGTCTCTCTGGTACTTTATCCAATTTGTTCTGTAGAGACTGGACGTTGGCTAGTAGGATGTTGGGCAAGGGTGTACGATGTGCCTGGGACCTCTGACTGCTCCTGATGCCTGATCATTTCTCTCTGTGCTTTCTTTGGGACTTTATTGAATCTTTTAGTGTCTGCATGTCGTTTATGATGATAGCTAAGGTGATGGGTGCAAAAGAATTAAATAAAGTGCATAAAAATACATAAACACAAAGTCTGAACGGAGCAGGCACAGCAGCTGCAGTACCCCCTGGCAACAATTCAGGTGCACTCACTTTCGGTACCTGTAAATAAAATGGTTTATAGCCTCTCTGTCTGACCACTCATTCTTGTCCCATTGAACTTTGTTGTAACTATAACGCTGCCTTCCCTGATCCCCGCAATTACTTTGGTGACTAGTGCTATAATTAGTCAGTTGAAATTAGTTGAAAGGAATCATTTGATGAACAATGAACACAAAACCCAAGTTGTAATAGACTAGAATAATTTTTTAATTTAATTTAGATTGTTTTAAAAAAAATTTCACATCTCTTTTGCAGATGTTAGCCATTTTGTCACCTTTTACCAATAAGCGTTTTTTTTCTGCAGCAAGGCATATTGAATCACTTTGGCAACATTGTTTTTTTTTCCTGTGGTGATACTCATAGACACAAATCTCCCACTTGCTTGCTCACGGAGCTGTTTTATTTTCTCTCTCTGCCATCTCTGCAGTGATATCCAGGCATAACACGATCCATGTATTGTGAGCCGGGGGCAGAAGCAGGTAGTCCTTGATTCATAGAAAATAATGCAAATCTCTCTTTAAATAACATTACTAATGTTTAGTGTATGGAAACTATAATGATTGCATTGGTGTGTGCAGTATATGCATGACTAACTTTACTGCTTTGTGTAGATTCTTCAGAAATGTTCAAATGTTTATCATTAATTCTATGAAGACCTAAGAAGATCATTCAATCAACGTGACATTTCTATTTTAATGATCAAATAATATATTTTTTTTATTATTGCAATTGGCATCAAAAAAACATACATCACTGTGGCTGCCTGCATGTGTATGTGTTTTACTACTTTAACACAGGAGGGCACTATATATCAACCTAAGACTGTTCTGTTAGTCATAGCAAAGTGGGATCATGCTGCCAATGGTTTATTGTCATTTCACTATACTTGCAAAACATGGTGAGAAGCAGGTGTCAACACCCTGTGGTCATATAGCCTCAGAGCTTGGTGTACACATGTCCTCCTTAAAGAAAAACAAAAATCATTCATGTGTCTATGAATGATATAATATAATTTTATATAATTATATGATATATAATATATATATAATAGTTGTTAAGTTGTAACTATGTATGAAGCAATAACATGATAACAATTATAGTAATTACAGCACATACTGTATAAATTAACAATTTAAGGGTCTAATCCATAACTGATAATTATCAACCTAAGACTAAACCACTAGTGAGTAAAAATGTCTGTCAAAGCAGTGTTCATGTAGACTGTTGCAGTGTACAGAGTAACTTGACTTGCGTTCCAGTCAAGAGCTGTGAATGGATCATAAAAACAAACAAACAAAAAAATGTTACATATTCCACCTATACAGAGGAAGTTGATTGTATCTATGTTGTGGGGACAGCCCAGCTGACGGTGAGTGTCCTGGTTTCCCTTTTTTTCTCTCGCTTTATTTCACCCATTGTTTTGCTCTGCCTGCCTCCCTGTGTTCTCCTCCTCTCTCCCTCGGCTCCTGAGCCCAGCCAACTACGCGCACCTGCACCTCATCAGCCACCTCGTCAGCCTTCCACACCTGCCAGTAATCAACCTCATCCCTGCCTGTATTTTAACCCCGGTTCGCCACACTATCCTCACTTGATCGTCGTTGCTCCATACCCGGTGCCACCTCTACGTTCAGGCTGTCATGTTTCTTGTTTTCTCTCATTTTCCCTGTACTTTGTCGCTCCAGTCACTAACCCTGTCTTTCTGTCTGTTTTCCCTCCCAGGTTCACTCACCCTCGTCATCCGTTCTGTCGGCTGGGCTCATCCTCCGGTCCTCTCCTCTCGGGCTTCCTCCACGGCGCCCTCCCGGCTCCTCCCCGCTCCTCGCCTCACCACCTGCGCCTCGCCTGCTCCTCGGTCCTCCGTGCCCGCGTCCCTCGGCGTCCACCTCTCCTCCCTCACCTCTTCCCTAGCCCCCTCCGTGAACCCTCAATAAAACCTCCTTCCCTCTGAGCGTTGCGTTTGGGTCCTTTCTGTCCCATCTCCCAACAATCTATAACTATCAGTGGTATACATGGCTGCAAAATCTATACAAACTGAATTTATGGTTTGTTTGGACATTGTGGCTCACTGGAATTTAAGATTACTGAAGAACACTGAAGGTAAAATAGTTTATATTTCCATTGCAAAACAATTTTTCAATTTATAAAACACTGTATTTCAGTTTCTGGTTGTACAAGCTGCCCCAGTTAAAGGTTGGGCTGTGGTGGGGTTCAGACAGTTCATAAAACTTATTCAGTGTTGTTGTTTTTTTTTAATTAGAAAATGAAAAGTTCAGTATATTTTAAATCAATTTTACATTGCAATGAACATTGCAAAGCAACAATGAATGTTTGGTTAGAAAATACAACTTTGCCTGATGTAACATGACTTACTCAACAAAACCCACATCCTGTCTTCTCTCCCAATACAGATAATGAAGTCTCTATACACTTTTAGTGAGTTCCTTTTCATATACGCCCCAAAGTTCAACAACTGATATAATAATGCATACAAAAGTGATTTATTTCTAAATACTTTGACTGTTTCTCTTTTATTCGAAGAAAAATTCTGCCAACCAGATATGGACATTGATTAGGAACTTTTGCATTTTAAGTTGATGAAAACTATACAAAGATACAATACAGATGAATGTGATATAGTAAAGCTAAAGATGTAACGCATAAAGTGTTTGTGTGTAGGTTGATGTCTTTACAAAATTATTTAAAGGATGTTTAAAGTCTGCTAAGAAACACAAGACAGACGGAAAATGAGCACGCGATTTGGAAGTGGATACATGTGAAATGTTTCACTTTCTCTCTTTTCCACTCCAAATATTATGTATTAAATTATGTATCAAATTTGAAGTGTGATATTTTAATATGGGAGTGGAAAACTGAGCTTTTCATAAATGTTTACCCATTGTCAACAACTTTAAATGTGGGGTATGCGATTCTGGAGATGTCCAATACCATAACAAATGTTAGCCAAGTTGTGGGTTCGCTAACTGCTGCTGCAACGAGACCGTCCCAGAGCCAGCACACTATAGGAACTGTAAAAATTCAAGTACAATTTTATAGCTGATATTTTTAGATTATTTAGCTCACATTTAGCTAATTTGTAAAACAAATTATTATATGCAATTGTCAACAAAATGATTATAAAAGTAAAATGTTAAATATAAAAGCTACATGTTAAATGTTGAATCTAAATGTTATATCTAAATCTAAATGTTAAATCTAAATGAATTGCTAAATGTAAAGATAAATGCTTTAGAAAATATGCAAATAGACCACGCCCCTTGCAGTGTCCCCACCCACACCACTGACTGTGGATCAGCCATGGGGACCACATGTGAAACACAGTGAAAAGGAAACAAACATGTCTGCTCTGCAATTAGGAGAGATTGAATGGGTGGTTTTGGCAGGAGTGGCCTTCAGGGTGCACCAATGGTATGGTCCACACCATTAACAGTAAGTTTGATATTAATTTTAACTTCTTGCTGGAGCATTCATGCTGGAGGGCGTTACTTTTAGCTAACCTACTTAGCAGGCTAACGTGTGACTCGGATGAAGTTACCTCTCTGAATCATAGCCACAGAAAGTCCTCAGGGTGCATCACAAAACCTTAGCTTGCATCCAAGAAACATGCCGTATGGTGATATCAGGCTGCATTTACTGAGCCAGGGCTGTGTACAAACATAAGATATTTTTTCTCTGCGTATTCAGAACAGACAGGTAGCAGAACATATTTGCTGAATTTGACAAAAAGACATGTATTGGATTAGAATCGCCTACCTTTACAAGGCTAACTTTGTGTTCCCTCCAGCATTGTTGAATCTTTACGTAGCTGATCATCTCGGCAGCTGTGTTGATATTGACTGCTCCACTGATGACGTGCTCACGGTGCACGTCATCAGTGCACGTTGAGCCGTCATTGGAGGAGCGAGCTGTGGTGCGTTCAAGGACACCACGGATCAAAAGACCGTGGGGTATTCAAGGACACCACAGAGCAGCAAGCTGTGGTGCGTTCAGGGACACTGTAGCCCGTTAGACGTCGCCCCCCTTGGGCTAAACTTCCATTTATACCACCAGTTTTCCTGGAAGCCAGTCTATCCTCTCAAGAGGAAGTGGACTTCCTGGCCGCCGAGATCCAGCAACTTCTGCTGAAGCAGGCTGTCTTAGAGCATCTCTGCGCATGACATGCACAGAGGTCTTGCTCCATGTACTTTTTGGTCCCCAAAAAGACCAGAGGCTTCTGAGCCATTCTGGATCACCTGAACCAGCATAATGGACAAGAGGGCGTTTCCACATGCTGATGATCAAGAAAATGCTGGAGCCAGTGCAGCCCGGCAACTGGTTCACTGCCATTGACCTGAAAGACGCCTATTTCATGTCGAGGTGACACAGTAACAGGGAATTTCTTGGCTTCTCCTCTCAGGCGGTAGCCTACAAATACATTAGGCTCCCCGTCAACTACTCGCTAGTCCCCCACACACTCAGCAGATGCATTGCACTGCAATCGTTGTGCGAGAAGAGCATGAGGGATCCTTTCTACTCACGACCTCATGGTCATGGAGAGATTGACGCGAGGATGGACGCGTTACATTGCCAGAAGGGCTGCTGTTTGCGTTCCCCTCCACCCCATCACATCCCTCCACATAGGTGAGGCTGGAACTGCCGTTCGTCATTCTGGTAGAAGTGATGCAGCCTACAGGGCCAGTACCTATGGTCTGGGGGGCTCTGTCACAAGGATGAGGCTTCATATGCACAATGCTGGTGTTTGGCCAGCCTCTCCGGGTTTTGCTCCTAAAATTGTGGAGAGGTAGACTCAGGTTGGTCTATATGCTGAGGTCACACAGACCATCCAAGCAGCGGGCAGTCTCCACCATGTCTTGCTGTAAAGCTAAGTGGTTAGGCTTTCAGCGTTGATTCGTTGAGACGGAGACGGATCCGTTTTCTCTTTCCTGCAAGATCTGATGGAGAAGATACTGTCGCGTTGCAGCTATCTCTCCTGTCTGCAGGGTGTGAGAAGACAGCGACCGATGTTGTGTCTCTCGGCGCCTCAGTAGGACTTGCAACTTGTGTTGGTAGCTCTAATATCTTCACCTTATGAGCCTCTGGAGCATTCCTCATTGAAAATGCTATATCTTGAACAGCTCTGCACCTTGCTCTCACCTCTGCTAAGAAGGTGAGTGAGCTGTGTGCCTGTCGGTTCACCCCAGCTGCAGGCTGGTGCTTGGTGTCCACAGTGCAGCTGGATTGAGACAACACATCTCCTTTGTTCTTAAGAACATAAGGAGCATTTTCAGGTCCAGGACAATACATCTGGATGCTTTCTACCCCCCTACCCCACTTAGGGTGCAGGGAGGCGAGAGTGCATCTGTTGTATTAATGTGTGCTAGGCTAACGTCCTATGTAGAGCACACAGCCCCCATTCGATGCACTGGTCAGCTGTTCATCTGTTTCAGTGATAGTGCAGTCAGTAAAACCCTGTCCAAGAAGAGCCTGGCCAGCTGGCTTTGTGAGTGAATCTCCCAAGCCTGTACACGGGCGGGAACAGACCTACCCTTAGCGCTGCGTACACATTCCACTCGGAAGTGTCTACAACCGTTGCGCAATGGCATCTTGGCCCTTATTGTGCCCGTTTGTGCGTTTCTATCTCTTGGATATGTCGGGATCCAGCTCGCAAGTGCGACCTAAGATCTGAAAAGTGAGGATCTGGTGACTACTGGGTGTAGAGGGGGAACACACACTGGCAGTGCCTGACGTTTCAGTGAGAAGTCAGGGCAGTGCAGGTGTTAATGGTCAGGCCAAGCCCCTATCAGTCCAGCGACCTTCTCAGGGGTGTCCCACCATTCTGTCACTAGGTGATGTGGTGGTCGGGGCTTTGGCTGGCCTGTGGCCGACTGGGTTGGTGTGGTGGACTTTGGCTTGTGGCAGCTAGGGCGGACAGTCATCGGGCTCCACTCACTGTACTCAGAAAGTCCAGCAGAGGGCAGAGCCTGTGTGAGATAGAGCGAAGGTTACGATATGGTAACCCTAGTTCTATAAGCACAGGCGGAGCCGTCTACCGATGAGCCCTGCCGCTCTGACGCCGTCTGCTGAAGAGTCGGTTGGATGCTGAGGCAGTAGGGACACTGCTATTTTTACATCACGCACGTATCCACGTCCTATTGGTCGGCTACGCGCATGATAACATTTTGGTGGGCAAGTGCGTGCGTGTGATTGGAGGAGGTGGAACCAATAGAGTCCAGTAGAGGGCGGAGCCTGTGCTAGGGTTACCATATCGTAACCTTCGCTCTATCTCACACAGGCTCTGCCCTCTACTGCCCGTTACCATTCTAGTTTTTCAAAACTGCCATTAACCTGGACTACAGTTGAAAATTAGCCTGCTGGCTAACACTGGCACATTTACAGAAATGTTTATTAATGTGCACTGTCCTTAAATAAATAAATGAAATGAAATGAAACCCACAAGTTTTATTGGAAGCTATTGATACGGCACAATTTTGAGTTTTTTTTTTTTTTTCAGCTGTCATCAAACTTAAATTGGACACTTTTCTATTGTTCACTGTAAAATAGAAAAATAGCTGAAAAGTCTCATCTGAATGGAACCGTGTTTGGCATGTGAACAGCATTTTCAAGTTTATCATCATGGAACACAATATACCTCACCTTCGACTGGTGGGTCTACAAGAGGAGTCTTTTTACACGAGTCTGCTCTCAAATAACATGAGTTGAATTGAATCTGTACCCTGCTGTTAGATAGCAGTTAAGGTTCTGCCCAGGTGGAGTACTTCAAAAATCCTCAGACTAACATCTCCCATCAACTGTTTAATAGATAAAGACTATGTCTGCAAGATTGGACCTGTCACCTATTATAGCATTTAAAATGTGCGTGTGCTTTC